CCCTGCGCCGCGGCCGCTCTCCCTAAGCCCGACGTGGCTCCTGCAGCCCCGGGTATCGCGGAAGCCCTGGAGGCGCCGTGCGCGCCCCTGCCCCGGGCCGTTTTGGGGTGGGGGGGTGTTAGCAACTCAGGCCCCGGTCCTCTGCGACAGGAAGGTCGGCCGCGTCTCCGTCACCATCCCCTGGACCCCACCTGCCGGCGGCGCCGGTCGCGGTCCCGACGCAGCTGCCCGGTAAGTCGTAGCCCCGCGCCGTGGCTCGCCCCCGTTCCCCTGGCCTCGCGAGTCCGACCGTCTTCTGACTCCGGTTCGTGTCCCGCTTGGCTCTTCGCTGCTTCCAAGCTCGAAGAGGGCTTTGGTTTCCAGAAGAGCTGAGGACCTAGGTGGGGAAGGAGCCGGCTGTGACCCTTGCCCTGCTCTGGACGGCCCAGCCTTGGGCTGAATGGCAGCGCCCACGCTGGGCAACCTGGTGCTGACCCACGTACTGGTGGCCCTCTTCGGCATGGGCTCTTGGGCTGCGGTCAACGGGATCTGGGTGGAGCTGCCTGTGGTGGTAAAAGACCTTCCAGAGGGTGAGTGGAGGGAGGTGCAGACGGCGCCCGCAGGTGTGCCCGGGAGGGCGGGCTGCCGCTATCCTTTGTCCCTTAGCCGTCATGCTTCTGACGTGGCCTCCTCCCTTCTCTGCAGGTTGGAGCCTCCCCTCATACCTCTCTGTGTTGGTGGCGCTGGGGAACCTGGGTCTGCTGGTAGTGACCCTGTGGAGGCGGCTGGCCCCGGGCAAGGGCGAGCGGGTTCCCATCCAGGTGGTGCAGGCGCTGAGCGTGGTGGGCACAGCCCTGCTGGCCCCTCTGTGGCACCGTGTGGCCCCAGTGGCAGGGCAGCTGCACTCCGTGGCCTTCCTAACGCTGGCCTTGGTGCTGGCAATGGCCTGCTGTGCCTCTAATGTCACTTTCCTGCCCTTCCTAAGCCATCTGCCACCTCCCTTCTTACGGTCTTTCTTCCTGGGCCAGGGCCTCAGTGCACTGCTGCCCTGTGTGCTGGCCCTAGTGCAGGGCGTGGGACGCCTTGAGTGCCCACCAGCCCCCACCAATGGCACCCCTGGGCCCCCTCTCATCTTCCCTGAGCGTTTTCCTGCCAGCACCTTCTTCTGGGCGCTGTCCGCTCTTCTGGTCACTTCAGCTGCTGCCTTCCAGGGTCTCCTGCTGTTGTTGCCATCAACACTATCTGTACCCCCAGGGGGCTCAGGGCCTGGCCTGCAGGTAGGAGCCCCAGGAGCAGAGCAGGAGGAGGAGGAAGAAGAGGCCTCACCATTGCAGGAGCCACCGAGCCAAGCGGCAGGCACCATCCCTAGCCCAGACCCTGAAGCCCTCCAGCTGCTCTCGGCCCGTGGGGCCTGCCTGCTAGGCCTGCTGGCCATCACCAATGCACTGACCAATGGTGTGCTGCCTGCTGTGCAGAGCTTCTCCTGCTTGCCCTATGGGCGCCTGGCCTACCATCTGGCCGCCGTGCTGGGCAGTGCCGCCAACCCCCTCGCCTGCTTCCTGGCCATGGGCGTGCTGTGCAGGTGCACGAGGGTCCCCAATCCCCCTTAGCGGGTGGACCTGAAGGGTGGGGCTTGGTCCTGGCACAGCCAACCCCGAGTCTCTGCTCACTCCCACAGGTCCCTGTCAGGGCTGGGTGGCCTCTCTCTTCTAGGCGTGCTCTTCGGGGCCTACCTGATGGCACTGGCAGTCCTGAGCCCTTGCCCACCCCTAGTGGGTACTTCTGCAGGGGTAGTCTTTGTGGTGAGCACAACGGGAATGTGAGGTGGCAGGGGGTTATTCTAGAAAAGGGCATCTCTTGCTCAGCCTGCTGCTGTGTGCTCCCTCTCAGGTGCTGTCATGGGTGCTGTGTCTGGGCGTGTTCTCATATGTGAAGGTGGCAGCCAGCTCCCTGCTGCATGGTGGGGGCCGGCCAGCATTGCTGGCAGCTGGCATGTCCATCCAGGTGGGCTCCCTGCTTGGCGCGGTGGCCATGTTCCCTCCCACCAGCATCTACCAAGTGTTCCGCAGCGGGAAGGACTGTGTGGACTCCTGTGGCCCCTGAGCCTGGGCAAGTGGGGACGTCACTCCACCCGTCTTCATCTCAAGGCTGTCACAGTGCCTGAGTGCACATGGACACACTTGACACCTGCACACTCCACAGGAGAACTTGGCACTTCAGGCCAGGGTTCGACCAAAGAGCAGACCTAGAGCCAGGGACTGTGGGCTTGGCCTGGGGCCTGGGACACTCATGGGATTTGTACAATAAAGCATTTTTATTCAATGAGCCAGAGCTTCAGTCCCGCCAGTACCTGTCCCTGTGCAGACATCTCCCCAAGCTGGCCGCCTCTCCCCCGGGTCCTGGTGCAGCTCTCCTGGGCAGATGCCCATCTGTTCCCAGGCTGCTCTCGCAGATCCTGGGGTCATGCCATCTGAGCTCAGGACTCCTCCCCTCACTGCTTCTTGGAACTGCCTGAGGCAGGATGAAGGCTGGTTCCCAGGGCCCTCATGCTATGGTGGTCAGAGGCAGCTCCTCTTCAGTGTGCAATCAGCAGGGCCAGTGCTCTGCAGCGTGGCGCAAGGGTCAGGATGGCTGTGACACACCAGGGCCCTGTCTCCCCCTTCATGACCTGGGAATGACTGCTTGCCCGCTGGCTTTCCAGGAGCGTTACGCCAGGGGTTTGGTGCAAGGTCCAGGCACAGAAGACTGTGAGGAGTACTTAGGAGAGAGGGGGTATGAGTTCCAGCCGTCTTGGGACCCTTTGGCCTGACAGCATTGTCCCCTTTCCTGAGCCATGAGCCTGTCCAGTTTCTAGTTCCTTCTGTGATCAAACCCCCAGCCCATTCTTCAGGAAGACTTAGCTGCAGCTGCCTCCTCCCTGGGCTGCTGGTCCTGAGCAGTCTGGGCCTTTGTTGGCATCTGCAGGGAGCAGGTCCTCAGCACTGACCACAGCCTGACCTGGGCTGGGAGGTTCTCTGGCTCCTAAAGCAAGGGCTGGGGCCACATGGAGGAGAACTAGAAAGAACATCTGACTGAGCCTGGTGAGAGGTGGCAGGGATCTGGAAGAGGGTGTTGGGAGGAGGTTGCACTGGGCACAGGCCTGGGCTCCTGCTGCCGCCTCTCCACCTCGTGGGCAGCAGGAAGGAGAGGCCCCTGGGGAACACAGCCTCCCAGCTGTGACCCGGTATGACTGGCCTGGCATGGAGACCCCATTCTCGCAGACAAGGGGCCCCACTTCTGCAGAGGGTCCCCGCAGCCACAGGGAGTGGGCAGTGCAGGCGCTGGGGGGGGGGGGGGGGGGGGGC